GGTCCCTCAAGGCCTCTTGGGGTGTTCTTGGGTCAGGCTGGGGGCGTCTTGGGGCCGAAGGCTCGAAAAGGTGCCCCCTGGACTCCCTCTTGGAGCCGTCTGGGGGCCCTCTTGGGCTGTCTTGGGGGCTTCGTGGGCTGTTTGGGACCCTCTTCGACCCCTCTTGGGGACCCCTTCGGCCGTCCGGGGGCGATATTGAAGGTTTCTGTACTCTGTACCCGTCTTGGACGTTGTGAAGGCCGAAAAGGCGAGTATGCGAAAAATGTTGTTTTTTCACCAAATAGCTTGCTGAACGGCGAACGGGATGCTGTTGTGATAGAAGCTAACTCCGGCCGAGGGAAGTCGGAGCAGAGACATCCTCACAAGAATTTGATGGTCCGGGCCGTTTCGCTTGAGACATCCTCACAACTCTCGTTTCTGAGTTGGCCGGGATTGGCCGTTGCGCCTGAGACATCCTCGAAAAGTTGCGCTCCGGGACGCCGCGCGAGAGGTGGTCCGGGCCGTTTCGCTTGAGACATCCTCGAAACTCTGAGTCCCGAGGTGCCGTGCGAGAGGTGGTCCAGGCCGTTTCGCCTGAGACATTCTCGAAACTCTGAGCTCTGCGATGCCTTGCGCGAGGTGGTCCGGCCCGTTTCGCCAGAGACATCCTCGAAACTCTAACCTCGGAGATGCCGCGCGAGAGGTGGTCCGGGTCGTTTCGCCTGAGACATCCTCGAAACTCTGAGCTTTGAGATGTCTTGCGCGAGGTGGTCCGGCCCGTTGCGCCTGAGACATCCTCGAAACTCTGATTTCGGAGATGCCGCGCGAGAGGTGGTCCGGCCCGTTTCGCTTGAGACATCCTCGAACTTCTGAGCTCAGAGATGCACTGCGCGAGGTGGTCCAGCCCGTCTCGCCTGAGACATCCTCGCAACTCTGAGCTCTGAGATGCCGTGCGCTAGGTGGTCCGGCCCGTCTCGCCTGGGACATTCTCGCAACTCTGAGCTCTGCCGCGCAAGAGGTGGTCCAGCCTGGGGGCCCAGAAGACCACATGTTACATATCCTCCCTGGGACCCTGGGAGCCCGCCTGAGACATCCTCGAACTTCTGAGCTCTGAGATGCCCTGCGCGAGGTGGTCCGGCCCGTCTCGCCTGAGACATCCTCGCAACTCTGAGCTCTGAGATGCCGTGCGCAAGGTGGTCCGGCCTGTTTCGCACAAGACATTCTCGCAACTCTGAGCTCTCAGATGCCGCGCAAGAGGTGGTCCAGCCTGGGGGCCCAGAAGACCACATGTTACATATCCCCCCTGGGAGCCCCAGGAGGCCCCAGAGAGCTCCAGGAGGCCGCAGGACGCCCAGGACAGGCCCCAGGGGTCCGCAGGAGATTCCCAGGAGGCTCCCAGGAGGCCCCAGGAGGCCCCCTATCAGAACGTGTCAAGTTCATAAACATCCGGTGTCGATTCGTTGATTTTTCCTGCTCTTGTGCCCCCCCCCGCCATTTTGAAATGCCCAAGCGGCCTCAGGTTAGATATCCCCCCTGGGAGCCCCAAGAGGCTTCAGGAAACCCCAGGTGGAGTTCAGGAGGCCGCAGGAGGCCCAGGAGGAAGCCCCAGGAGGTCCCCAGGAGGCCCCAGGAGGCACCAGGAGGCCCCCGCAACTCGGAGCTCTGAGACGCCGCGCTCGAGGTGGTCCGGCCCGTTTCGCCTGAGACTTCCTTGCAGCACGTTTCGCCCGAGACACCGGCCCGTCTCGCCTGAGACATCCTCGCAACTCTGAGCTCTGAGATGCCGTGCGCAAGGTGGTCCGGCCCGTTTCGCACAAGACATTCTCGCAACTCTGAGCTCCCAGATGCTGCGCAAGAGGTGGTCCAGCCTGGGGCCCAGAAGACCACATGTTACATATCCCCCCTGGGACCCTGGGAGCCCCAGGAGGCCCCAGAGAGCTTCAGGAGGCCGCAGGACGCCCAGGACAGGCCCCAGGGGTCCGCAGGAGATTCCCAGGAGGCTCCCAGGAGGCCCCAGGAGGCCCCCTATCAGAACGTGTCAAGTTAATACACGTCTGGTGTCGATTCGTTGATTTTTCCTGCTCTTGTGGCCCCCATTTTTGGGGGCCCCGACGGCCACATGTTAGCTATCCCCCCCTGGGAGCCCCAAGAGGCTTCAGGAAGCCCCAGGTGGGTCCAGGAGGCCACAGGAGGCCCAGGAGGAAGCCCCAGGAGGTCACCAGGAGGTCCCAGGAGGCCCCAGGAGGCCCCCGCAACTCGGAGCTCTGAGACGCCGCGCTCGAGGTGGTCCGGCCCGTTTCACCTGAGACTCCCGCGCAGCACGTTTCGCCCGAGACATCGTTGCAACTCTGGGGTCCGAGATACCGCGCGCGAGGTGGTCCAGCCCGTCGCGCTGGAGACATCCTCGCAACTCTGGGCTCCGAGATGCCCTGCGCGAGGTGGTCCGGCCCGTCTCGCCTGAGACATCCTCGCAATTCTGAGCTCTGAGATGCCGTGCGCAAGGTGGTCCGGCCCGTTTCGCACAAGACATTCTCGCAACTCTGAGTTCTCAGATGCTGCGCAAGAGGTGGTCCAGCCTGGGGGCCCAGAAGACCACATGTGGCATCTTGGCCTGTCTGCAGGCCACATCCGGCCGCCTCGAGGTTTGGGCCATCTTGGTTGCCTTGGTCGCCTGCCTGGGCTGTCTTGGAAGCTCGGGACGCGGACGCGCAAACTTCCAACGAAGGACCGTGGCCTCGGGAGTGCGGCTCCCATGTTAACAAAATGCCAGGGCTCGTGGCCTCGGGGACAGGGGGCATGGCATGGGCTAGTCTGGCAGCAGGGGTGGGGAAGGGGTCCGAATTAGAGCACGCTACAGAGCAGCACTTGGCATTCTAACACGCCCACGTCGTGCAGGCACGATGGCGGATTTTTCGTAGGGCCTGGTTAGGATGTTGAGTCGTTGTTTGACGGTCCCGGGGCTTGTCGAGGGCCCAAAGGGCCGAACATCGTCGCACACGTCCCCTTAGCTCCTGAGGGCGCACCCCTGAGATTTTCATCGCGTCTGGGCTTCCTTGGGGGCTCTCGGGGGCCTCTTGGGGGCTTCCTGGGGGCTTCTTGGAGTCCTTTGAGGTTCTCTTGGGGGTCCCTCAAGGCCTCTTGGGGTGTTCTTGGGGGCGGGCAGAAGTACCAGCAAGGTCCACTCTCGAAAAAGGTTGCCCCCTGGACTCCCTTTGGAAGCCGTTCCTGGGGGCCCTCTTGGCTGTCTTGGGGCTTCGTGGGCTGTTTTGGACCCTCTTCGACCCCTCTTGGGGACCCCTTCGGCCGTCCGGGGGCGATATTGAAGGTTTCTGTGCCCGTCTTGGACGTTGTGAAGGCCGAAAAGGCGAGTATGCGAAAAATGCTGTTTTTTTCAAATGGAATGGGACGGTTTTTGTTTCTTGGGACCCTCTTGGGATGCATCTTGGGGGGCCTTTGGGAGCGTCTTGGCAGCTTCGGAGGCCGTCTGGAGGCCATCGTGGGCGTCAAGGAGAGATATTTCGGCGACTCGTTGCCCTCTGGGACTCTGGGACCGTCTGGGGAGCGTTTTGGTGCCTTCTCGGTCCGTTTTGGAGCCCTCCGCTTCCCCATGACGCGTTCGGTCCGGGGTCATCCCTGGCCAGGGGGGGGGGTCGAATTGCCGGTGTGGGTGTCCCTGGGGGGGGGGGATTAGGGTGGGGGGAGAATCTCACACGCCTAGAGACCCACGAGGGGTCGGCGGATTTCGCAAGTGCAGTGTCAGCTAACCCATATCGAGTGGCACCATGTGGGCCACGCGCACGCACATGTCAACGTCTTCCCAGAAGCAATGGTGCACACATACTTTTACAGCCAACAACCATCCTTCACCTTTCATTTTCAAAACCAATGCGCGCGCACTAGCTGAAATGATAAGACATCATCGCGTTTGCTTTGCCACTCTGTCAAGTGAGACGATGCGGGCAACGCGCGTGCGCATGTCGAAACCATTCAACAGTCATCGCGCACCTCCGCCGACTCTGTTAGATATCACCATGCGGGCCACGCGCATGCATCCCCGCGAACGCATGCCAAAATCATTTCACAGTCATCGCGCACCCGCCAACTCTGTCAAATGATGCAATGCGGACCACACGAGCGCGTCCCCACGGGCGCATGTCGAAGTCATTTCAAGACCACTCTGGTGTTCATGCATGGTTCTCATATAACCGGAAGCCTGGCCTGGAGGGGGCCCGGGGCTGCAACACACAGGGCACCAGAGTAAACCCGCTTTTTTTGGGGGCCTTCCCCGGAGATTGAGAAGCTCATGAGGTCCACCCTGAAAAGATTATGCAACCCACATGTGGCTCAAGCAAACATCTCTCCATTCGGCGCGCTGGCTCAGGGCGAGCTCTATGGATGGTTTACACTGGTACCGCTGGCAGATTACACCTGGCGGCACAATGAAAGTGGCCTCCGCGGCATTCACTTGCATAGCGATGGCTCAGCTCGGTGCGGCATCGTCTTGTGGTGCGAAGGGTGCCGACAGCACTCCCTGGACATCGCGCAGCCAGCGCATCGTGGGGGGGCAGCAAGCCACAAGTGGAGAGTGGCCGTGGCAGGTCTCCCTCCAGACCTCTAGTGGGCACTTCTGCGGAGGAACGCTCATCGCCCCGAACTGGGTCTTGACGGCTGCCCATTGCTTTCCTCGTTCCTCGTTCTGGGTCGTGGCGGGCCTTCACCAATTGTCCCAGTCGGATTCGGTGGGGGTGCGACTGGAGGTGCAGCAGATGCACACTCATCCAAACTACGTCTAATGGGATCAGGGCTACGATTTTGTCCTCCTGGAGTTGGCCGAGGCGGCGCCCTTGAGCGACAACATCGGCCTTGCCTGCCTGCCGTCGGAGGACATCGGTGCTGGTGAAGAGTGCTGGGCCACTGGGTGGGGGAAGGTCGCCGGAGGCAGCATCCCTGACGTGCTGCAGGAGGGCGCTGTCACCTCCTGGACCAATGCAGACTGCCAGTCTTACTGGGGCCTCTCAGGGATGACGATCACCGATGACATGCTGTGCGCGCAGGGCTCAAACGCTGGGGAGGTAACCGATATCTGTCAGGGAGACAGCGGAGGGCCGATTGTCTGCGAATCAGGCGGCAGCTACTTCCTTCACGGCGTCGTGTCGTGGGGAGCTGCTTCTTGTGGCGTGGAAAATTTCCCTGGAGTTTGGAGTCGGATCACTTATGGACGCGAGTGGATGGACGGGGTGATGGGGGACTGGACGGTGCCCCCGACGCCATCGCCCGCACCGACGGCTGCGCCGACAGCTGCGCCGACCGTTTCCCCAACAGCAGCACCGACTGCTGTGCCGACGGCAGCGCCGACGATGGCGCCAACCGCATCCCCTACAGATGCACCGACAGCCGCGCCGAGTGCAGCACCTACAGCTGCACCGACCGCTTCCCCAACGGCTGCACCGACAGCTGCGCCGAGCGCAGCACCGACAGCTGCACCGACCGCTTCCCCAACGGCCGCTCCGACAGCTGTGCCGAGTGCAGCACCAACGGAGGCACCGACCGCGTCCCCAACGGCAGCACCGACAGCCGAGCCGACAGCATCGCCGACCGCTTCCCCAACAGCAGCACCGACTGCTGTGCCGACGGAGGCGCCGACTGTTGAGCCGGGTGTGCCGACTGCAGTACCCACGGAGGCACCGACCGCTTCCCCAACAGTTGAACCGACAGCCGCGCCGACTGCAGCACCGACGGCGGCGCCGACCGCTTCCCCATCAGCTGCACCGACAGCCGTGCCGACAGCAGCACCGACGGAGGCACCGACCTATTCCCCATCAGCTGCACCGACAGCCGGGCCGACAGCAGCACCGACCGCTTCCCCGACAGCAGCACCGACGACTGCACCGACGGAGGCACCGACCGCTTCCCCAACGGCTGCACCAACAGCTGCGCCGACTCTTGCGCCGACTTCTTCGCCGACCGCTGCGCCGACGCCCAGTTCTGTGCACATGTGGGCGGCCATTTCGGGCCCGTGCACGTTGGACGGCGCCTGTGTGCAGAGCGCGAACTATCCGCAGGCTTATAATAACAACGAGGCGTGCACGATTGAGATCGACGCGGAGAACGCAGCACCGATCGTCGTGGAGGCTTTCAATGTAGAATGGTACTTCGACTACATCGTTATCGACGGATGGAAATATTACAGCGGAAGTTCGGGTCCGTCTGGATTCACACCGTCATCCAGTATCGTGTGGTCGTCCGATTTCAGCGTTACGAGGAGTGGATGGAAATTTTGCGTACCAGTGTCAACACCTGCACCCCCTCCGACAACAGCACCAACGCCTGCACCGACCTCTGCGCCGACTCCCGCACCGACAGCTGCGCCGACTCTTGCGCCCACTCCTTCGCCAACCGCTGCGCCGACGCCCGGTTCTGCGAGCATGTGGGGGGCCATCTCAGGACCGTGCACGTTGGACGGCGCTTGTGTGCAGAGCCCGAACTATCCTCAGTACTACAGCAACAGCCAGGCTTGCACGATCGAGATCAACGCGGCGAACGCAGCACCGATAGTTGTGGAGTACTTCAATGTGGAGTCGTACTTCGACTACCTCCTCATCGACGGCTGGAAGACCTTTAGCGGCAGGCGCCGCCGTCCGTCTGGGTTCACACCGTCATCCAGTATCTTCTGGTCATCCGACTTCTCCGTGACGAGGCGCGGTTGGAGGTTGTGCGAGCCAGATCGCCGCCTTCTGGAGGAGGCCCCAGCGCCCGACGAGCCAGCCTTCCTGATTTAGCAAGTCCGTCAGCACAGGACGCTCTGGTCGTTTGCCGTTTTCCGCGCCGGCTTAGTGGACGAACCAGCCGCACACGGCTTCGATAGCTCTGTCAAAAGACTTCATCAGCTTTAACTTCGATTAACCTCGATAGTTAGTCTTGACGTCGATAGCTTCGATAGGCGATGTTCTTTACACCGACCTCCCAGAGAGCGGATGGCTCCTTCTCTGCCGTGTCGGCACGGCGAGGAGTCCATGGGAGCGTCGCAGCGTCGTTCGAGGATGCGTAGACGCGAGACTACCTCATCCTCTGCCAGCCGACGATGGTGCATTTTCGATCTGCTCGCGACAGTGCTGTTTTTGTTTTCCGCGCTCGTGGGCGCCAGTCAAGTTCACTGAGCCTCGGGGCTATTCCCCCCTCCTTCCTGTGCCCCTCTCCTTCCCTTCCCCATGGTCAGGGGCTGCGGTGCCTGATCCGGGGTGTGCTCGCGTTGTTGGGTGTGTAGCTCGGCCCCTCGGGCATGGCCAGAACGTGCCTTCTCTTCCCCATCCTGACGCCTGCGGCGGCTGGGGCGCGGCTCGGGAGCAGTAATTCTGGTTTGTCAGTTGCTCGCGACTCGCGCTGCAGTGCCAATGCAGGAGAACATCTGGCCCGCAGGCTTTTTCCTGTTTGGTGGCCACCCGCCGGTGGACACCGCAGCGAGTGCGCTCCTACCGCTTGCTGGGCGGGGATGGAGCCGCACTGGCGTCCTGCCTCTTGCGTGTTGCAAGGATGGCGTGTCGAGCGGAGCCGTCTTGGAAAAGCATGAGAGAAAGAGGGTCCCGCGACAGCCCAGGGGGCCCGCGAGGGCCTCAAGACGGTCCACGGTGGTCCCGAGACGGCTCAAGGGCGCCCGAGGACGTCCAAGATCGCCCCAAGGTGGCCCAAGAGTTTTCCGAGACGGCCCAAGAGGGCCCTAAGAGGTCTTCAAAAGGGCCCCGACAGGCCCCAGGGGGCTTGGAGGGGGACCTGGAGGGGAGAGTGGAGAGGGGCGTGGAGGGGGGGGGAGGGTCTGTTGGAGGGGGGGGGGGGGCAGACTCCAGGGGAGAGGGTAGGGAGAAGGGTTTGATTCAGAAGATGGGAGAGGAGATGCCCTAGACCACCTCCGCCCAGAGGGCTAGTGGGGTTATCTGCTGCCCATCACTTGCACGCGAAGATTACACCACAGAGACTGCACGACATAATTCGAGCCACATATATTCTGCCACAAGTACTGCAGAGGCCAGCCTGCAGTATGTAGCTGGCACTACATAGTTTGCAGATTGCGCCACCTAAAACGAATAATTCACCACGCAAATATGATACACCACGCTGGATCACGCTGTTTACCTTCTCTCCTACGAGGAGTCGGATCTATCCCCTGCCTGGAGGCCGCGGCTAGCGCCCCCCTCCGCATATAATGTGTCCGTGTTGTTCGTGCCGATGTCAATCTTGCAGAGTAGTTCACGCCAGTCAGCTCGCGGACACCTCCCTCCTCCCGGTAAAATAACGAGATTCGGAGCACTCGCTTTGATTATATAGGTTTGCGCCACATACGCCGACCCCTACATAAACTACTGCGCCTCCTGGACTGCATTTCACGAGGCTTGTCAGAATCATGACACGGCGCTCGACATCGTTTTTGTTGCTTCGTTGCTGTTATCGTACCTCTTGGTGCTCTTCTGTGCCCTTTTGGTGGCATCTTGGCCTGTCTGCAGGCCACATCCGGCCGCCTCGAGGTTTGGGCCATCTTGGTTGCCTTGGTTGCCTGTCTGGGCTGTCTTGGAAGCTCGGGACGCGGACGCGCAAACTTCCAACGAAGGACCGTGGCCTCGGGAGTGCGGCTCCCATGTTAACAAAATGCCAGGGCTCGTGGCCTCGGGGACAGGGGGCATGGCATGGGCTAGTCTGGCAGCAGGGGTGGGGAAGGGGTCCGAATTAGAGCACGCTACAGAGCAGCACTTGGCATTCTAACACGCCCACGTCGTGCAGGCACGATGGCGGATTTTTCGTAGGGCCTGGTTAGGATGTCGAGTCGTTGCTTGACGGTCCCGGGGCTTGTCGAGGGCCCAAAGGGCCGAACATCGTCGCACACGTCCCCTTAGCTCCTGAGGGCGCACCCCTGAGATTTTCATCGCGTCTGGGCTTCCTCGGGGGCTCTCGGGGGCCTCTTGGGGGCTTCCTGGGGGCTTCTTGGAGTCCTTTGAGGTTCTCTTGGGGGTCCCTCAAGGCCTCTTGGGGTGTTCTTGGGTCAGGCTGGGGACGTCTTGGGGCCGAAGGCTCGAAAAGGTGCCCCCTGGACTCCCTCTTGGAGCCGTCTGGGGGCCCTCTTGGGCTGTCTTGGGGGCTTCGTGGGCTGTTTTGGACCCTCTTCGACCCCTCTTGGGGACCCCTTCGGCCGTCCGGGGGCGATATTGAAGGTTTCTGTGCCCGTCTTGGACGTTGTGAAGGCTGAAAAGGCGAGTATGCGAAAAATGCTGTTTTTTTCAAATGGAATGGGACGGTTTTTGTTTCTTGGGACCCTCTCGGGATGCATCTTGGGGGGCCTTTGGGAGCGTCTTGGCAGCTTCGGAGGCCGTCTGGAGGCCATCGTGGGCGTCAAGGAGAGATATTTCGGCGACTCGTTGCCCTCTGGGACTCTGGGACCGTCTGGGGAGCGTTTTGGTGCCTTCTCGGTCCGTTTTGGAGCCCTCCGCTTCCCCATGACGCGTTCGGTCCGGGGTCATCCCTGGCCAGGGGGGGGGGGTCGAATTGCCGGTGTGGGTGTCCCTGGGGGGGGGGATTGGGGGGAGAATCTCACACGCCTAGAGACCCACGAGGGGTCGGCGGATTTCGCAAGTGCAGTGTCAGCTAACCCATATCGAGTGGCACCATGTGGGCCACGCGCACGCACATGTCAACGTCTTCCCAGAAGCAATGGTGCACACATACTTTTACAGCCAACAACCATCCTTCACCTTTCATTTTCAAAACCAATGCGCGCGCACTAGCTGAAATGATAAGACATCATCGCGTTTGCTTTGCCACTCTGTCAAGTGAGACGATGCGGGCAACGCGCGTGCGCATGTCGAAACCATTCAACAGTCATCGCGCACCTCCGCCGACTCTGTTAGATATCACCATGCGGGCCACGCGCATGCATCCCCGCGAACGCATGCCAAAATCATTTCACAGTCATCGCGCACCCGCCAACTCTGTCAAATGATGCAATGCGGACCACACGAGCGCGTCCCCACGGGCGCATGTCGAAGTCATTTCAAGACCACTCTGGTGTTCAAGCATGTCTCATATACCGGAAGCCTGGCCTGGGGGGGCCCGGGGCTGCAACACACCAGGGGCACCCAGAGTAAACCCGCTTTTGGGGCCTCCCCGGAGCATGAAGAAGCTCCAAGAGGGTCCACCTGAAAGATTTGCAACCACTGTGGCTCAAGCAACATCTCTCCATTCGGCGCGCTGGCTCAGGCGAGCTCCGCGGAAGGTTTACACTGGTACCGCGGCAGATTACACCTGGCGGCACAATGAAAGTGGCCTCCGCGGCATTCACTTGCATAGCGATGGCTCAGCTCGGTGCGGCATCGACTTGTGGTGCGAAGGGTGCCGACAGCACTCCCTGGACATCGCGCAGCCAGCGCATCGTGGGGGGGCAGCAAGCCACAAGTGGAGAGTGGCCGTGGCAGGTCTCCCTCCAGACCTCTAGTGGGCACTTCTGCGGAGGAACGCTCATCGCCCCGAACTGGGTCTTGACGGCTGCCCATTGCTTTCCTCGTTCCTCGTTCTGGGTCGTGGCGGGCCTTCACCAACTGTCCCAGTCGGATTCGGTGGGGGTGCGACTGGAGGTGCAGCAGATGCACACTCATCCAAACTACGTCTATTGGGATCAGGGCTACGATTTTGTCCTCCTGGAGTTGGCCGAGGCGGCGCCCTTGAGCGACAACATCGGCCTTGCCTGCCTGCCGTCGGAGGACATCGGTGCTGGTGAAGAGTGCTGGGCCACTGGGTGGGGGAAGGTCGCCGGAGGCAGCATCCCTGACGTGCTGCAGGAGGGCGCTGTCACCACCTGGACCAATGCAGACTGCCAGTCTTACTGGGGCCTCTCAGGGATGACGATCACCGATGACATGCTGTGCGCGCAGGGCTCAAACGCTGGGGAGGTAACCGATATCTGTCAGGGAGACAGCGGAGGGCCGATTGTCTGCGAATCAGGCGGCAGCTACTTCCTTCACGGCGTCGTGTCGTGGGGAGCCGCTTCTTGTGGCGTGGAAAATTTCCCTGGAGTTTGGAGTCGGATCACTTATGGACGCGAGTGGATGGACGGGGTGATGGGGGACTGGACGGTGCCCCCGACGCCATCGCCCGCACCGACGGCTGCGCCGACAGCTGCGCCGACCGTTTCCCCAACAGCAGCACCGACTGCTGTGCCGACGGCAGCGCCAACGATGGCGCCAACCGCATCCCCTACAGATGCACCGACAGCCGCGCCGAGTGCAGCACCTACAGCTGCACCGACCGCTTCCCCAACGGCTGCACCGACAGCTGCGCCGAGCGCAGCACCGACAGCTGCACCGACCGCTTCCCCAACGGCCGCTCCGACAGCCGTGCCGAGTGCAGCACCGACGGAGGCACCGACCGCGTCCCCAACGGCAGCACCGACAGCCGCGCCGACAGCAACGCCGACCGCTTCCCCAACAGCAGCACCGACTGCTGTGCCGACGGAGGCGCCGACTGTTGAGCCGGGTGTGCCGACTGCAGTACCCACGGAAGCACCGACCGCTTCCCCAACAGTTGCACCGACAGCCGCGCCGACTGCAGCACCGACGGCGGCGCCGACCGCTTCCCCATCAGTTGCACCGACAGCCGTGCCGACAGCAGCACCGACGGAAGCACCGACCTTTTCCCCATCAGCTGCACCGACAGCCGGGCCGACAGCAGCACCGACCGCTTCCCCGACAGCATCACCGACGACTGCACCGACGGAGGCACCGACCGCTTCCCCAACGGCTGCACCAACAGCTGCGCCGACTCTTGCGCCGACTTCTTCGCCGACCGCTGCGCCGACGCCCAGTTCTGTGCACATGTGGGCGGCCATTTCGGGCCCGTGCACGTTGGACGGCGCCTGTGTGCAGAGCGCGAACTATCCACAGGCTTATAATAACAACGAGGCGTGCACGATTGAGATCGACGCGGAGAACGCAGCACCGATCGTCGTGGAGGCTTTCAATGTAGAATGGTACTTCGACTACATCGTTATCGACGGATGGAAATATTACAGCGGAAGTTCGGGTCCGTCTGGATTCACACCGTCATCCAGTATCGTGTGGTCGTCCGATTTCAGCGTTACGAGGAGTGGATGGAAATTTTGCGTACCAGTGTCAACACCTGCACCCCCTCCGACAACAGCACCAACGCCTGCACCGACCTCTGCGCCGACTCCCGCACCGACAGCTGCGCCGACTCTTGTGCCCACTCCTTCGCCAACCGCTGCGCCGACGCCCGGTTCTGCGAGCATGTGGGGGACCATCTCAGGACCGTGCACGTTGGACGGCGCCTGTGTGCAGAGCCCGAACTATCCTCAGTACTACAGCAACAGCCAGGCTTGCACGATCGAGATCAACGCGGCGAACGCAGCACCGATAGTTGTGGAGTACTTCAATGTGGAGTCGTACTTCGACTACCTCCTCATCGACGGCTGGAAGACTTTTAGCGGCAGGCGCCGCCGTCCGTCTGGGTTCACACCGTCATCCAGTATTTTCTGGTCATCCGACTTCTCCGTGACGAGGCGCGGTTGGAGGTTGTGCGAGCCAGATCGCCGCCTTCTGGAGGAGGCCCCAGCGCCCGACGAGCCAGCCTTCCTGATTTAGCAAGTCCGTCAGCACAGGACGCTCTGGTATTTGCCGTTTTCCGCGCCGGCTTAGTGGACGAACCAGCCGCACACGGCTTCGATAGCTCTGTCAAAAGACTTCATCAGCTTTAACTTCGATTAACCTCGATAGTTAGTCTTGACGTCGATAACTTCGATAGTCGATGTTCTTTACACCGACCTCCCAGAGAGCGGATGGCTCCTTCTCTGCCGTGTCGGCACGGCGAGGAGTCCATGGGAGCGTCGCAGCGTCGTTCGAGGATGCGTAGACGCGAGACTACCTCGTCCTCTGCCAGCCGACGATGGTGCATTTTCGATATGCTTGCGACAGTGCTGTTTTTGTTTTCCGCGCTCGTGGGCGCCAGTCAAGTTCACTGAGCCTCGGGGCTATTCCCCCCTCCTTCCTGTGCCCCTCTCCTTCCCTTCCCCATGGTCAGGGGCTGCGGTGCCTGATCCGGGGTGTGCTCGCGTTGTTGGGTGTGTAGCTCGGCCCCTCGGGCATGGCCAGAACGTGCCTTCTCTTCCCCATCCTGACGCCTGCGGCGGCTGGGGCGCGGCTCGGGAGCAGTAATTCTGGTTTGTCAGTTGCTCGCGACTCGCGCTGCAGTGCCAATGCAGGAGAACATCTGGCCCGCAGGCTTTTTCCTGTTTGGTGGCCACCCGCCGGTGGACACCGCAGCGAGTGCGCTCCTACCGCATGCTGGGCGGGGATGGAGCCGCACTGGCGTCCTGCCTCTTGCGTGTTGCAAGGATGGCGTGTCGAGCGGAGCCGTCTTGGAAAAGCATGAGAGAAAGAGGGTCCCGCGACAGCCCAGGGGGCCCGCGAGGGCCTCAAGACGGTCCACGGTGGTCCCGAGACGGCTCAAGGGCGCCCGAGGACGTCCAAGATCGCCCCAAGGTGGCCCAAGAGGTTTCCGAGACGGCCCAAGAGGGCCCTAAGAGGTCTTCAAGAGGGCCCCGACAGGCCCCAGGGGGCGTGGAGGGGGGCCTGGAGGGGAGAGTGGAGAGGGGCGTGGAGGGAGGGGGGAGGGTCTGGTGGAGGGGGGGGGGGCCAGACTCCAGGGGAGAGGGTAGGGAGAAGGGTTTGATTCAGAAGATGGGAGAGGAGATGCCCTAGACCATCTCCGCCCAGAGGGCTAGTGGGGTTATCTGCTGCCCATCACTTGCACGCGAAGATTACACCACAGAGACTGCACGACATAATCCCACCAGCCCTTTAGGGCGTAGGTGGTCTAGAGCGTTTCCTCTGCCAACACACTTCTTTCCCTTCGGGGAGGGGTTTACCCCTCCCCTTACCCCTCCCCACCGACCTGGACGAGGGGTTCCGCGGGTCGTTGGGACGTCCAAGATGGCCCAAGACGGCTCCAAGAGCGAAAAAGCGAAAAAACACAAAACATTGATTTTCTGCAGGTGTTGGAAGGATGTTGGCCTTTTGGGGTGCCCAAGAGGCGATTCGAGGCACTCTAGAGGGGCAAGGCTAATATACGACCCCCCCTTCTTTGATAGATCTCCTCCAACATGGCCCCAAGAGCGTCCCGAAGGCTCCCAAGAGCGCCCCAAGGGCGCCCCAAGAGGGCCCCAAGAGGCCCCAAGAGGCCCCCAAGAGGCCTTCAAGAAGCTCCCAAGAGACCCCCAAGAGGCCCCAAGAGGCTCCCAAGATGGCCCAAGGCGGCTCCAAGAGTGAAAAAGCGAAAAAGCACAAAACTTTGATTTTCTGTAGGTGTTGGAAGGATTCTTAGGCTTACGCCACACCGCCGACCCCTTGTTTATGCCAATCTGGGGGTAGTAGAAGCTGCGAAGGGGTGAAAAGGCGAGTGATATTTGTTTGGTGTCTGTTCGCCGCCACCGCCAGAGGGTCTCGGGCAGTTCCGCGGGGAGGTCCGAGCGGACAGCGACACTGCGAGTTTTGGAGCCACTCGGGGGCCGTTTCGGAGCCTCTGGGGTGCTTCTTGGGGGTTCCTTGGGGCGTCTGGGCGGCCTCGTGAGGGCCTCTGGGGGCCTCTTGGGGCACTCTTGGGGCCCCCTGGGGCTCCTGGGGGCAGAAAGCTAGAGTTTCAACATGTTTGGTCGCCCTCTTGGGCCCCTCGTGGTGCCGTCTTGGAGCCCTCTTGAACCGTCTTGGGGACCTCTTGGGCCGTCTTGGGGCCGTCTTGGGCCGTCTGGAGGCCGTCTTGGGGGCCTCTTGGGCCATCTCGGGGCTATCTTTGGGGCCTCTTTGCCCGTCTTGGAGCGTCGGGAAGCCGGAAAGGCGGAAAAGCAAAAAACATCGAAAAACACTCTGGAAAATCAGCAATTTTTGACTCTTTGGGCCCTCTTGGGAGGCTCATTTGGGACCTCAGGGGCCGTCTTGGAGACCTCTTGGCCCGTCTTGGGGCCATCGTGGGCGTCTTGGAGCGGTCGTTTGGCTTCTCGGAGCCTTCGTGGGCCGTCTTGGAGGCCTCTTGGGGGCTTCGTGGCCCGTCTTGAAGCCCTCTTGGGCCAGGAAAAGCCCCGTGGAGCGCTCGTCCCGGACCCCCCCCCCCTCCAAATCGACTGGACCGGGCTCCCGGGGGAGGGGTTTGGGGAGGGGGAAGCATCTCACACGCCGATGATCCCCAAGGGGTCGGCGGATTCTGGATCTGTTTCTGTGCGTACCAGCTCTGTAGCTCTCCTGAATCTCGAGTTAAGTACAGAAAACCGTCAACGCGTGTCAAGATGACTCGAAACAGCGAATCCCGCCGGGAGACCAAATCCAAGCGTCTAGATACTTCAGACTAGCGCGTCTGATAATTTTCTCCCGATTTCTGTGCCAAATAGCTCTGAAGCTTAGATGCAGCTCGACTTCAGTCAAGGAGCGTCATACTCTGCTATTTTTCTGGTGCTGGAATTGGTTTTCTTGACTGAACTAGAGGTGCAGATGAGCTTCAGAGCTCTTAGGCACTGCAATGGGAAAATAATCATCAAGCGCGCTATTTGAAAGTATCTAGACACCTGAGCTCAGTCTGCTATTAGCGCTAGGGCTGAACACGTATTCGTACTCTGCTACTTTCTTGGCAATGGTGTTAGGTTTCTTGGTTTTACTCGTGCCGCAGATGAACTACAGAGCAATGGGAAGGGAATCAGCAGGGGCGCTAGTGAACTGTATCTGGACGCCTGAGATCAGTCTGCTATCAGCGCTCGGGCTGAAAAACTAATCGTTCTCTGCTAATTCTTTGGAGATAATATATGGCAAGGAAGCTCTACGAGTCTCCCAGCGGTAACCAAGGTCGACGGTTTACCGCCGGCGCCCAGTTGACCCACCCGGCCCGGGCGGACAATGTGTGAACTTTGGGTCGGTTGGGCGAACATGGTGAAAGATTTGAACATTAGTTATAAGGACCGGTATTCTTCGCACCTGTAGTGGGTTATGCCGCGTCCGCCAGTGAAATTTTCAGGTCCGTAGCTGCAGTATTATTAGCAAAACATTTGAATGAGCCGACTTTCGGGGAAAACTGTAAAACGTAATGTTTCAAGTTTTTCAGCTCACGCGTAAGAAAGCTTCCCCATGTCTTCCGAGCAGTGCCATGCGAGTTAAGAGCTCTACGAGGCTCCCGGCGGTAACCTGGTTGACGGTTTACCGCCGGCTCCAAGTTGCTCTCCGGATTTTGGACGCTACCAAGTTCCCGGAGAGATCTCTGAGAGCTATAGGGTATTAGATTAGAAGCCGGACGGTGGTGGTGCCTGCCAGCAGCGCTTCAGAAGCGCTTCAGGAGAGCCCCCCAGAGCTCTTCAGGAAACCTTTCCAGAGTATTCCCGGAGAGCTCTTTGAGAGCTATAAGGTTTCACAATAGAAGCCGGACGGGGGTGGTGCCTGCCATCAGCTCATCCACGGCGGTCCAGAGTCGTCGCAGAAACTTGTAAAAGTTCGCAGCGTGTCCTGGAGCGTCTCCGGCACGCGTCCACGCGCGCCTGCACGCGTGGAGGCGTGCCTGGCAGCGCTTCAGAAGCGCGTCAGGAGAGATCCTCACAGTTCTTCAGAAAAGCTTTCCAGTGTGAGTGCCTCTTCGCTCTCCAGGTTTTGGGCGCTACCAAGTGCATCTTTGCTGTCCGGGTTGTGGACGCTACCAAGTTTTACAAGTAAAACTCTCTGAGAGCTATAGGGTTTTAGATTAGAAGCCGGACGGTGGTGGTGCCTGCCAGCAGCCCATCTTCGCCGGTCCAGAATCGTCGCAGCGACCTGTGTAAGGTTGCAGCGTTTCCGGGAGCGCCTCCGGCACGCGTCCACGCGTGCCTGCACGCGTGCAGGCGCGCGTGGGAGCGTGCCTGGCATTGCTTCAGAAGCGCTTCAGGAGAGCTCCCCAGAGCTTTTCAGTTCCGGGGGAGCTCTTTGAGAGCTATAGGGTTTTAGATTAGAAGCCGGACGGTGGTGGTGCCTGCCAGCTGCTCCTCCACAGCGGTCCAGAATCGTCGCAGCGACCTGTTTGAGGTCGCAGCGCGTCCGGGAGCGCATCCGGCAGGCGTCCACGCAAGCCTGCACGCGCGCAGGCACGCGTGGAGGCGTGCCCGGCAGCGCTTCAGAAGCGCTTCAGGGGAGCTCCCCAGAGCTCTTCAGGAAAGCTTTCGAGTGTGAGTGCCTCTTTCCCCAGATAGCCTCTTGAGCTACATCGGGTTTTTCGAAGAGAAGCCAGCGGGTGCGCGTGCATCGCCGCACTCCCACGCTCCCCGCTCCACGATCCCCGCGCCGACTTGCCGGGGCCGGCAGCGTGTCCGGGAGCGCTCCAGGTGCGCCGCGCAGCGTGCCCCCACGCGTGCAGGCACGCGTGGAAGCGTCGTTGTCAGCGCTTGAGGAGCGCTTCAGGAGAGCTTTGCAGCGACCTTCGAGCCCCGCCGCGCGAGGTTTCCAGCGCCACCACGCACGTTTAACGCATGCGTCCAAAACCCGGAGAGCAAAGAGGCACTCACACTGGAAAGCTTTCCTGGCGAGCCTTGGGAAGCGCTTCTTGAAGCGCTGCCAGGCACGCTTCCACGCGTGCCTGCACGCGT